TGGGGAGACCCTACAACACAACACCTCCATGGGGAGACCCTACAATAACAGACTTTGTGGGGAGACCCCACAATAACAAACCAGTGTGGGGAGACCCTACAATAACAAAACAGCATGAAGAGACCTCACAGGACCAGACTGAGGTAGGGAGACCCTACAATAACACACCTTGATGGGGAGACCCTACAATAACAAACCTCCATAGGGAGACCCTACAATAATAGACCAGAGTGGGGAGACCCTACAATAACAGACCTACAGAAGGAGACCCTACAATAACAAACCAGCATGAAGAGACCCCACAGCACCAGACTGAGGTGGGGAGACCCTACAATAACAGAGCAGAGTGGGGAGACCCCATGATAACAAACCTCCATGGGGAGACCCTACAATAACAGACCTGTGTGGGGAGACCCTACAACAACACACCTCCATGGGGAGACCCTACAATAACAGACTTTGTGGGGAGACCTCACAATAACAAACCAGTGTGGGGAGACCCTACAATAACAAACCAGCATGAAGAGACCCCACAGCACCAGACTGAGGTGGGGAGACCCTACAATAACAGAGCAGAGTGGGGAGACCCCATGATAACAAACCTCCATGGGGAGACCCTACAATAACAGACTTTGTGGGGAGACCTCACAATAACAAACCAGTGTGGGGAGACCCTACAATAACAAACCAGCATGAAGAGACCCCACAGCACCAGACTGAGGTGGGGAGACCCTACAATAACAGAGCAGAGTGGGGAGACCCCATGATAACAAACCTCCATGGGGAGACCCTACAATAACAGACCTGTGTGGGGAGACCCTACAACAACACACCTCCATGGGGAGACCCTACAATAACAGACTTTGTGGGGAGACCTCACAATAACAAACCAGTGTGGGGAGACCCTACAATAACAAACCAGCATGAAGAGACCTCACAGCACCAGACTGGGGTAGGGAGACCCTACAATAACAAACCAGTGTGGGGAGACCCCATAATAACACACTTTGACGGGGAGACCCCACAATAACAAACGGGCATGGGGAGACCCTGCAGTAACAAAGCAGAACAGCAAGACCCCACAATAACAAACCTGTGTGGGGAGACCCTACAATAACACACCTTGATGGGGAGACCCCACAATAACAAACCTGCGTGGGGAGACCCCGCAATGAGAGAGCTGTGTGGGGAAAACCCTACAATAACAGACCTACAGAAGGAGACCCTACAATAACAAAGGACCCCCCCCTGCCCCACCCCAGATTCCCGGGGGGGGCAGAGCAACTGTGGGGACCCTCTGGTCACACACCTGTATGGGTACCTCCCTGTGACAAAGGGC